GAGAGAGATAACGTCAAACTCGCGGAACTTTCGAAAACTTGTGGAGGCGGCTGTTGCTGTAGCTGCTCTTGAAAAATCACAATAGATAGCTTAAGTTCAAACAAGCTGCAAACGGGAGGTACACAATCAGACGACTTGTCCCAATCACTGCGATCCGCAAACTCCCACAAATTGACCAACAAACGCGACCTCACCTCTAAGGATGATTGATCTTTGATGGCCAGGTGTGACAACTAGGCATGGCTAATATCGTAGCAACTATTAGAGATGCTGATGAGCAGTGGGACTGCAATTTTCAGAAATAAAAAGTTGCGACTCAGTTGGTGAGTTGCTCTGGTAGAGAGCTATGGGCGAATATTATCTTTAAGCCAGCCACTATGGATTATGATTGCCCGTCTAGCTCTACAGACAAAGCTACAATCAATAGCTTTGGTCGTCGCGTGATCGAAAAGCGCGCAAATAGGAGGGACTTTTTCACATAGATCGAGAAAGGTTAATATTCAAGCGACACTTCCGACAACTGATGAATAACTTCTATGCCAGCAGTCTTTCACAATCTAGACAGTGAAAGCTTACAATTCTGACGAGCTTCACACTCCACTAACAGTAAAGCCACCGGATTTACTGAACAACGGTCTTGCAACGCTGTACAGAAGAAGTTACAAGATCAGCTAACTTCTTCTGAAACGCGGGTGTCATCCCGCGTCATAAACTTTGGCAAATGAAGGCGACCACCTCGGTCGTCAAGAACCTAGTCGCGGGCGACCTCGCGTCGTCAAGCACACAGACGACCCTCGCGTCGCAAGTCCACATGCGCCCTCGCGGTCCGTCAGAAGCTCACGGACCTTACGCTCTCGTCGTCGAACCAACAGCGACCCTCGCGTCGACAATGCACAAGCAAACTAGCTGAGCGACGCCTCGACCGCGTTCAAAGGTGTTCACGCAACACGCGACCTCGCGTCAATGGGCTTCAGCTTATACATCCAACTTTTCGCGTCTCAATTTTCAAAGAACACGAAGTTGAGGTTCTGACCGCCAGATTGGGCGTTTGACTCACATTCAAACATAAAGTTCGAAACGCGCTTCCAAAACGCGTTTATTCCCACGTTCTGAGCGTTTCGCGCCACATAGGGAGGGCGGATATAGGCAGTCAGTTACAATCTGCCTATTTCTCCTTATAAAATATCACCAAAATACTCGACAGCATTGTCTAGGCGGATGCGGATTTTTTGATAATGCAGGATCTAGGGTTGCGATTCTTTTACATCAAAACGCGACTCAGCGTTTGCGAGATCGGCAACAACGAGCAACGAAATCCTTGGAGATTAGGATTTTTGAACCAACGCTCAGAAAATGCAAATCGTGGATGAGAATCCTTCAACACAGGAAAAACCTCGGCTTGATTATTTAACCGACATTTTCCCGCCTGTCCAACAAACTCTATTACCAGAGTTTCAAAGCTCGTTCAGAGTTCTTAACTCAATTCAGCAGTTATTCATAAAACTTTCCGTACGGAAAGTTCATCGTTCCCCACGAGATAAAGACCAGCGGACGGGATTCGTCAACGAGAGCAAGTTCGGACGCAATCAATCGAAGAGAAGCACGCCATCCCTGCCAAGCAAGAACCCAGTTTTAAACAAAGGGGACAAATCAAATCGTGTTTCCCTCTTTTTGTAATCAGTTGTAAACCGAGATCAAAGGAATCAAAGTCACATTTTCTTTATTCTCTTCTTTACAATTTTTCCAACAAACAGGGGTACTGGACTTTCTGGATGAAATTGACTTTTAGCAGTCGATCGACTTTCTCTGTAGCTATCTGCTTTCTCTCAAATTCGAGAGGTCCCTTCTTCTGTTAGACCGGCTTGCTCTATCGGTCGATAGACAACTCGTGAGTTATAACTTCTGGAGTGATTCCTGGTATATCCTTAGGTCCCAGGCGAAAACATTTGTGTTGATTCAAAGGAAGGCAATGATTGTTCTAAGTTATGGCTCGGTTAGCTCCGACATGATCTTCCTTGGTTTCATCGGGGACAAGTTGAATTTTCTAATTTTTCCACAAGAGTGGTTCACTCCCTTGCTTCATCTTTTTTCAGGCTTGCATCTTCTCAATGTGCAGAGTTTTGAAAGTCCATTTGCATTTTAAGAGAGTAGATAGCAAGATCTAGCTTCTTGTTGATTGCTCTACACAAGGTCGACCCGTTCTAGAGTCAGGAACTTGATCATTTAGTTTTAAGAGGAGGGAACAACTTGAAGGTCGTTCAAGGAAGTTCTTCTAAGCAGAACTTTGTAGGTTGATTTAACATACATCATAATAAATTGAAACTAAATTATGGACTAGCGACGGTAATCACCGACTACCATGGGTAGGATGATCAATCCTTCTTGCTGAACCAAATGACTCGAGAAGCCTACAAGGGGACTTGGGCAAGGCTGTAGCTGGATTTATCAACCTGTTTGGTTGAATGCGTCCATGAATAGGACATTTGTAAAAAATTTAGTGTCCACCAGGATCCTCTTGACCTAGAATCCATCAATTTATGCGGAGATAATGATGGGGTCATCATGGGGGTGTCATCACGCTTTTCAGGTCAGCATCACTGAAGGAGATGGGCTAATCTGCTTTAAGCTTTTTCTCATAGCAATTCGCCTCCAATGCTCATTGAGCATACTTCTTCTAAGCATTATTTGACATTTCCCTTGTTGTAGGACCACCACTGATGATGTCAATGTGCCTTTGTCATTGGCCTCCTTCGGCTGATCACTTTGTCGATTTGGATGAGGTGATCTTGACCTAGATCTCCTCCTTTTTTATTTCTATTAGGATGGCTCTTTCTTGCCATGGTTGGCAAGGAACTTCATCAATAGGCCTCTTTCCATGAATTCCTTTATATCTCTTTGCAATATTTAGCAATCATTAGTGTTGTGGCCGTGATCCCAATGGTACCGATAGTATTGTCCGACATACATATTCTAAGGATTTGATCTCTTAGGAGGTCGGACCTTGGTAAGATGTCCCTCCTTTTGGATCAAATGCAACACTTGTGAAAGGGGAGCGTTGAGGGGGGCGAGCACCAATTTCCTTGTTGTCTCCTTCCTCTGCTCTCTTATGTCGACTCGGTTGGATCTAGGTTTAGATTCAGGCTAGTCCTATTCTATCTTCTTGCCTTTGGAAGACTTGGCTTCTGCGGCTTCCTATTAGGCTGCCTTCTTATGGGTGCATATGACTAGGTTTTGGCCATGAGCTGGTCAAAGTTGGCTAAGGGGTGCATGATGAGAGAATCAAACAATTTCTCATCCTCTAGACTTGTGATGATTGTTTCCATGGCGACCATGTTGCCAGGGCCTCCCACTTTCCAAGTGCTTGGCTTGGAACTTTTTGAAGTATTCTCTTGAGGTTTCTCTGGTCTTCTACTTGATCTGCGGTAGGAGAGCGGAGGGTGCCTATGATTTTGTGCCTACCAAAAGTGGTGCATGAATTTCTATCTAAGATGTTCAAAGCTGTAGATAGATTTATTCTTGAGAGAATTTCACCACATCTTCACACTACTACTAAAGGTGATAGGAAAGGCTCTGCAAATAATTGAATTGGTCGCATGCTATATGCTCATCATGAAAATGATATACTGTTCATGTTCGGTCAGGTCACCTTTGCCCTTATATTTCTCAATGTGGGGGCATCTTGGACTTAGGATAGGAGGCGTTCATGGTATCATTCGAGAAAGGAGTATTTCCCCCAGTGACATCGGCCACTATGTTGTACGCCCAATCATAGTTAGAAGCTAGATGGGCTGTAGAGGGCTTGGCCTAGGTTGCTCGAGTTTGGGTCGTGTGGGTGTGCCTTACAACTTGTGACATCCCCCATACAGCCAGAATTAGGCTGTGGCCTGCTCTCTCCTATCCCCTCTTGATAGGGTAGAGGTTGTTATGGATCGGTGGCAAAGCGAGTTTGCTATTGTAGCAGTTGGGAGTGGTTTCCTTACCCCCACCCCTCTTGCTCCTATTGCTGGCGCTGCCCTTCATGGAGAGGGGTGGCAGACAATGGAGGAGGTCGAGAGTTAAGAACATGGCTGAGAAGTTCATTGGTGAATGAAGCAAACTGCTATTAGAGAGACTAAGCTATCCTTTTGGTAGATTCATCCAACTTGGCCTGAGTAACATAGCCGGAGCTAGAAGATTCTTGAGGAGTGTGTAAATTTGGAACCATAGATTAGTTATAATCAACCTTTATCTAAGGGAGAAAAAATGCCCTACGTTGGCACCAAACTGATTATGTCAGAAAGTTAATTGCATAGATAAGTTAGTATTTAGAGGAGTTTAGGATCCTTTGATCTTCCTTGATAGATTATCAATTAGGAGGAAGTACAAGAAATAACCATTAGAGGGCTAGAGTTTGTTCCTCCGACGTGCCCTCCGACATTCAAGTCAGTAATAGATTGAACAAGTTTGCAGAATCTAGTTTCAGGGAGTTATTTCGTAGTTTTTTGTGTACCTCCGAATAGTGAAGGTTGTCAGCTATTTATAGAGAGTTGACAAATGCACATCGGCAATTTGAACAGGCCAGTGCAGTCGGCTGATTAGGCTGCACTTTACACGTGTCGATAGCCGGTTGAATGAATCACCTTTGTGTGTAATGCAACAATGACAGAAACAGCTGAAGTACTGGCATGATCCGAGGAGTCATAACTTCAACTAAAAAGTTATAATGACTCTGACTCAACATTAAATGTGATGGTGATTGAGTGACAAAGTACGAATGTGAAGTTGATAAATTTGTCTCGTCATTCGAAGCATTCTTTAGTGAGAACCCAAGTATAAGATGTGTTTCGTCTCGAATTTGACCTCTTTTAGTGTATCTCGGCTCGGAGACGATTTTTGTCCCAAACTTGGGTTGCCAGAAAGGTCAGCCATGCTCACATGCGGGTTGGGCTCTTGGATTAGTGCGACTCGGGCAGTTAATTATGACATGTGGCCGACTGCCGCTCCGTTGAACTTGATCTACACATTTTTAAACCCAAACACATCAATTTTGGTGTGAACCTGTCGTGTTTTGACCCTTCGTTGAGCCGTGCAAAAAAGTTCTATTCATTCGAAACCGTTAAAATTACGGTAAGTGGATGAAGGGTCAAAACACGACGGGTTTATCCCAAAATTGGTGTGTTTGGGTTTAAGAATGTTTAGATCAAGTTTGACAGAGCGGATCGCAAAAAAAATTTAGGAAATGATGTGATTTTAGACTACGTCCTTAGGTGGGAATCTAAGGTGTCACCTTAGGAAAACATTACCCTATATATAGGGAGAAATGAATCTAAGTATGACTCCCTAGGCTAAGTTCCTAAGGATGCGGCATCTGGACCGTTGATCCAAAAACCCTAAGAATAATGCTTAGCCGCCTTGCCGTTCATATTCAAAAATCCAAAAATAACAACTTTATATATATAATATATATATATATTTATATTATATATATATATATAATATAATATATATATATGAGAATGAATCTAAGGTGACTACCCCTATGCTAAACCTAAGGATGGCACAATCTGGACGTTGATTCCAAAAACCATAAATACATCTTAGCCTCCGTTCAATATTCAAATCCCAAAAATAACCCTACCCTTTTCTCATTACCCTCTCAGATCTCGCCATCACCGCGCTACCTCCTCCTCTTCCAGCGCCAGAAATGCGTCGCCCCGCTCAGCGTTCGGTCGTCGTCTCCTCGCCGTCTGCCTTGACATCCCCTTGCCTCGCCATCACCTCCCCCTCCTCCTCTCGCAAAACCGAGATTGCTGAGCTGAAGCGTCGCCGACCCCCCTCAGCGTCGGGCCGGCCGTCCCCGTCTGCCCTCACCCTCGACATCCCCTCGCCCTTGCCATCACCTCCCCCCTCCTCTCCAGCGCCCGAGATCTTTAAACCTGCCATTGATGGATTTGAAGCTGAAAGTTACACAGTTGTAAGTAAAGTGCAGTCTTTTTCTCTATATTCTAATGTAACTTTACTTCAACTAATTTTCCTGGACAAGTTTCCTATGCTATCATCTATTGAGACCATTTCGAATCTATGATGTAGGTTGTAGATGCTGTTCTGAGAGATTATATATTTAGGCATCTTACAAACAACCATGACAAGTTCAATTTGCTAATGTAAGTCAACAATTTTTTTTTTTTTTTTGCATTTTAACTCCCATTACATGGATCAGTTTGATTTCCTCATCCTCTGACATCTTATTTGAATGATAGTATTTGCTACTATGTGACACTTTGTCATTTAAATGAAATTGTTTAGTGAAATTGAAAGATCAACTTGATGACGATTTTCTAAAGATTTTGAACTTCTTATAATGTGATTAATTAATATGAGTGTCACTTGATTAATGTTCTAGTGTCAGCATTTTATTTTTTGCTCGCATCGGTAGTATACCATCAACCACAAGAAGTGCTTATTTTGTTGTTTTAGTGGCTGTATATTATAGACGCATGCATTTTTCTATAATACCTGTTAATCATTGTTGATCTCTGGTAAATATTTCGCTTAAACTTTCTGTTGAAAATAATCTAACCTTGAAGTTGTTTCTTTGTGATTCAGAATGTGGAGAGAGATCAGACTTCTTGCTGCCTCTAAACCTGTGATTGCATCCATGTCTGTTGTTGCTGCAAGTGGGGGATGCTACATGGCCATGGTAGCGCAGACTATTGTTGCTAAAAAGCTGACATTGACTGCTTCAATTGGAGTTGTTACAGGTAAACCTAGATTGATCCTGTGTGACGATTATAGTTCACATGTTTTTCAGGGAGGTGAGGCATTGGTGGAGGTGGGTAATTGGTGTGGTTGTGGTTACGAGTATTGTGGTGATTGGTAGTGGTGTGGTTGTGGTTTAGGACCAAGCAATTTGATAATTTATTGAGAGATCACTTACTGAAGCCAAGCAATTTCTTCGACAACTGGATTCTCAAGTCTGCATCATCGAATTGCAATACCATCAGAGGAAAACATGTACATGTGGACTATAAAGATTTTTAGCTGGTTAATTGGTATATTTGATACAATCAGTTTTCCCTTCAATTTTGTTGCTCTGAAGGAAGTTGAAATGTTGGCTTGGGAATGTTCATTGTAGACTATGTACCTGAGCTTTTGAGTATTAGTGTATCAAAATTTCTGCTGGAATGAAAAGCCCTGTTCCTTTTGATGCCTCTGTGTTTATGCTAGTCCTCAAAACTTGTGATTCTTGTACTTAGTATCACAATAGTATTAATTTTCTCACTGCAGGGTCTTCGCTAATGCAATGTTGGAGCAAGTTCCTCGCCCAATATCAATGTTGGTGCAATGTTGGAGCAAGGTCCTCGCCAATGCAATGTTGGTGCAATGTTTTGTACCCAATTATGTAACTCCTTAATTAATTTTTGTAACTCCTTAAGGAGTTACAAAAGTTTTTTCTAGAACTATGAGTTACAAAACTACAAAACTGGTTTAAATTTTTTTGTAACTAACAAAAGTTTTTTTGTAACTCCTTATTTAAATTTTATAACTCCTTAGACCAGATTTGTACCCAGCTAGTGAAGTTTTGTAACTCGTAGTTCTTGAAAAAAAATTGTAACTTCTTATTCAAATTTAGTAACTCTTTAGATCAGTTTTGTACACAGTTAGTGAAGTTTTGTAACTCACAGTTTTGGAAAAAAAATTATAACTCCTTATTCAAATTTTGTAACTCCTTAGACTAGTTTTGTGCCTAGTTAGTGAAGTTTTGTAACTCAGAGTTCTTGAAAAGAAATTTGTAACTACTTATTCAAAATTTTTAACTCCTTAGACCAGTTTTGTGCCCAGTTAGTAAAGTTTTGTAACTCACAGTTCTTGAAAAAAAAATTGTAACTCCTTATTCAAATTTTGTAACTCCTTATACCAGTTTTGTACCCAGTTAGCGAAGTTTTGTAATTCACAGTTCTTGAAAAAAATTTATAACTTCTTATTCAAATTTTGTAACTCCTTAGACTAGTTTTGTATCCAGTTAGCGAAGTTTTGTAACTCATAGTTCTAAAAAAAATTATAACTCTTTATTCAATTTTTGTAACTCCTTAGACTAGTTTTGTACCCAATTAGTGAAGTTTTTTAACTCACGGTTCTTGAAAAAAAATTTGTAACTCCTTATTCAAAATTTATAACTTCTTAGACCAGTTTTGTATCCATTTAGCGAACTTTCGTAACTCACAGTTCTTGAAAAAAAATTGTAACTCCTTATTCAAATTTTATAACTCCTTAGACCAGTTTTATACCTAATTAGTGAAGAGTTCTTGAAAAAAAACTTGAATAAGTGGGTACAAAACTTAAAGTTTTGTAACTCTTATGCAGGTTTTCGCAACATTTCAGAACGAGTTACAAAACTTGAATAAGTGGGTATAAGTGGGTACAAATTTTTTTCAGAACGAGTTACAAAACTTGAATAAGTGGGTACAAAACCTGCATAAGAGTAACACAAGAATTATACCCACTTATTCAAGTTTTGCAACTCGTTCTGAAAAAAAAGTTTGTACCCACTTATGCTGGTTTTGTACCCACTTATTCAAGTTTTGTACCATCTTATTCAAGTTTTGTACCCACTTATTCAAGTTTTATACCTCATTGTTTTGGAAAAAAGTTTTGTACCCACTTAATCAGGTTTTGTACCTCTTTAGCTCAAATTACCTACTTATTCAAGTTTTGTAACTTGCTATTCTGAAAAATATTTGTACCCACTTATTCATGTTTTGCACCCACTTATTCATGTTTTGTACCCACTTATTCAAGTTTTATGCCTCATTGTTCTGAAAAAAAGTTTTGTACCAACTTAATCAGGTTTTGTACCTCTTTAGCTTAATTATATACCCACTTCTTCAAGTTTTGTAACTCATTATTCTGGAAAAAAAAATTTGTACCCACTTATTTAGGTTTTCTACCGACTTATTCAAGTTTTGTACCATCTTATTCAAGTTTTATACCTTATTTTTTTGGAAAAAAAGTTTTGTACCCACTTATTCATGTTTTGTACCTCTTTAGCTCAATTTTATACCCACTAATTCAAGTTTTGTAACTCATTAATCTGAAAATTGTTTGTACCCACTTATTCAGGTTTTGTACCCACTTATTCAAGTTTTGTACCCACTTATTCAAGTTTTATACCTCATTATTCTCAAACCGCAACATTACAGGTACCATATGTAATATCATCGATAACTCTGCTCAAAAGAAACTATAATCAACAACTAAGTAGACATGTAAAATATCATCAACAACTCTGCTCCAAAGAAACTATCATCGACAACCAAGTAGACATGTAAAATATTACAAGTATAAATTGTACTTACAATAGAAAAATGAATATCATCCACATATTCGCGTACTCAGCAACAGCCAAGGAAAAAAATATTTACAAAAATTACAGAGATAGTTGAGGCTCAACTCCAGCTAGCAAAGCGTCAGCAATTCGAGGACAGTGCTCTAGGCTCAGTGCAGACAAATGTAAGCAATTCTCAACTATTGGCATGATCCCTTCATCATCAATAAACTAATTTATCAGCTCTAGCTTTTCAAGCTGTTATCAAAATTCAGCAACAAACATTGATCCCACATTTTTCATAGAATGACAGTTTTGAAGTGTAAGAGATGCAAGCATTGGGCTTAGTTGTGCAATAATCTTTAGGCCATCGTCAATGATCCCAACAAAAGGAACATCGTCAAGATAAAGAGAAGTCAAATGATGAAGAGGATAGGTCCCCACGCCTACATACTGAAGCACTGGCACAATGATCCCGTGACGATTCAAGGAAGTTGAAGATGCGCATCAGGCACTATGGGGGGAGTTTGTTGATTAGATTGTGACTTCCTGCCATATTTTTATTTTTCTTACACTCGAAACCAAACTTTGGCGGCTCTCCACTTATCATCCTTGTCAAGCAAAAAATCATCATATCAAAATCATGGGTATACAAATAGGAGTAGATGGAGGCTGTTGCATCACGTCAACAACACACCGGCCTCCACTCTACAAATAAACTCATAGAATTAATATTTATGGTCCACAAAACAAACGGATGCTTGTGATGATGATTGAAAAAAAAGGGAGAATGAATAGAAAGTAATCATAAAAGCTTCCTGCTTAAAACTATTTTCCCCTCTTTCATTTGCTTTCTCCTTTGAATAAATTATGTATTATTACTTATCAGTGTTGCAGCAGTGTTGCAAGGATCCTTATCAAAGATTGTCGACATGTGAAGAAAACTGAAAACTCAACCGAGAATTATTTAAGCTCCACAACAAATTTTCAATTGGAGAATCTCGTTACAAATTCCCCAAACAAATTGCATAAATGATCAGTTCTTGCTGTGCAAAGCAGATATAAGCAATAATAAAACCCAGCATGTGTCATGGTAAATGCAACAATAAGGAGTAAATCAAAAGAGAATAAGGAAAATATGTGAAGAAATACAGTATAACTGGTGAAGAACAAAATGTTGTTACATTGTAAACTTTGACACTACCAATTCCAAAGCATTACAACCTCTGAACCAACCTCCACCAATGCCTCATCTCCATGAATGAGACCACAACCACAACCATAACACTACCAATTCCAAAACATGTGTATTACATGTGAAGTTGTTGTGAGGATTTATGGACTTACAAGATAATGAGCTGATATCATAAACTAGACCAGCATTGGGGAGTGTTATTCATTCTGCAAACCTAAAGGAGATGGAGATCAAGCATGAAAACAACCTAAATGGGAAATATAAATAGATTAATTAGCACAACAAACAACCAGTCAATACCAACGTAAGCTTAAACCAAGGCTGGGCAGCAGAGTGGGAACTCAGTCCCTCGAGTTCGGCGTCTCGCGGGCGGAGGATAGTTGGTGGGGCGCTGAGATCTAGTCGAGGGCACGTGAAGGGGTTCGGCGGAGAATGCGGGAGAGGCGGGCAGCGAGGTCCGGCGGCGATCGGGGGCAGAGGAGAGGAGGGGGCGGGTGAGATAATGGTCGAGGGATCGTGGATGGGCGGCTGTGAATGGGGAACATAGAGGTGAAGGGATCTAGGCGAAGAGCGCGGCAATGTCCGGCGGGAGCGCACGGTAGAGTTCGACCGAGGAGAGGAGAAGGGACGTCGCGGGCCTAGACTCGAGAATAGTCCGAAACTTGAGGGTCGAGGTCCGAGGTGAGGAGAGGGTGAGTGCTCCAGCGGCGAGGCAATGAACGCAGGGCGCGCGAGCTCCAACAGAGACTTCAGGCGAGGAGAGGAGGAGGGGTAGGGTGTTGGCCAATCTCTGTTTGAGATGAGAAATGTAGGGTGAGCACGGGTTCGCTTCAAACCGAAAAAACCGATCGACCGACGGAACGACCAGAAAAAAGCGGTTTAAATGATAAGACGCGTTCGGGTCGGGTTAGATAACTTTTCAAACCGACCGACCCGACAACCGACTCTATTCCCCTGACCTAAACCCTACCCGTTTATCCGTACCAACCCTCAAGACTCAAGTTGCACCTAACTCTCAGCTCATTTCCTCTCCTCACTCTCACTCCCAGCCGCCCACCTCCCATTTCCTCAATCTCTCTTTCACTCTCCGCCATCAGCGACAGCCGTCAGCCATGCGACCGTCAGCAGAACCGCGAACGCGCGAACCGCGGTCCGCCTCTCTCACTCTCTCTCACTCTCCTCAGCCGACAGCCGCGGTCCACCTCTCTCACTCTCTCTCACTCTCCTCAGCCGACAACCGACAGTCGACAGCCGCCACCCGCGTCACGAGCGCTCCGCAGTATTCGATTCTTCATGGATCTGTCTCCGGCTCAGGATCAGGCTCAAGATGTATCTCCGGCTTTAGGAGGGGCATCCGCACCCGTCACCGTCGCCGAGGCCGAAGTATAACATCTCAGTGATCTCTTTTGCTCTTCTTCAAGCTTCCTTCAATTCTAATCTATTTTATTTTTGTTTTTATCATGATGCTGGTAATGGGTCTCGAAACCATCAATCCAACTCTTTTAATCAGAACAAAGATTCCAATTCGAACGATTCATCTATGGATTTGATTATTTTCATTTTTGTTGTGGATTTTTTTTGATTGAAACTTGTTAATCATAATTGCCTCAAAAATCTATGGATAATGGAAGTCAGCAACAACAACAAGATGATCCATTACCAGCATGAAGTGCTTGATGAAAGTTTTATTCACTGTACAAAGTTGTCGAATATGGTTTGTTGCGTTCGTTTGCTTCTACCTAATTCACTGTACAAAGCTGTCATGGGGATTACTTTGTTGAACTATTTGCTCAATTGAAACTTGGTTATCTATTACACTTGCTGCTGTGTTTATTTGCTTGGATGCCTGGATATAAACTCTTGGGGCAAGTTATATTTGTCCCTTTGATTTGTTATACTTGATGAAGTTAGAACCGAACAAACCGAACCGAACCGAACCGATTTGCAACGGTTCGGTTCGGTTTTGAATTGTAGGTGGTTCGGTTCGGTGGTTCAAATTTTGATAAAAACCGACCCGAACCGAACCGTGCTCACCCCTAGAGAAGATGGGTAGGGATATTTTTGAGGGAGGGGGTTTGAACGGATGACTAAGATTAACTTGAGGGTTATGAAATGGACGGTCCAGATTCCGCATCCTTAGATGAAATCTAAGGAGTCACCTTAGATTCATATTACCCGAATTGTTCCTAAGGTGACGCATTAGATAATCATCTAAGGACGCGTCCTAAAATCACATGATTGAGCTACATTATAGATGATCCGCTCTGTTAAACTTGATCTATATATATCCCAATTAAAATTGTGCCTTCATTTCTAGGAACAGCTAAGAAAGATGGACAAGATAATAACAAACAATACACTTCATCGAACTTGGGGGAAAGCTATAGCGTGCATCCACTTCCAAAAAGGCAAAAATAACAATTATCTTTCCACATCGATCCCGACCTCTCTGACGTTGAAAAGCGCGCCAAAAAAGAACAACATCCACCCTTTTATAACCACTCATGTCTCTACACGTCACCTATCGTTTCCGCCACGTCACCTTCAGCTCCATATAAACGGCCCTAAAAAAAAAAAAAAATCAAAAATCAAAAATCAAATCCTCATCGAAGTCCGTCTCTCACACGCAACAATGGAGGATCCGATCACCGCCGCTGAGAATAGCGTCCTTCAACGCCGCATCCAAACGCTAGCTCTCCACTTCCCCTCTCCCTCCTCCTCCTCCTCCGGCGATCTCCTACCCTTACCGTGCGGTTACCGTAAGCTCACCGTCAACACCTCCGACCTCTTAAATTACATGAAGGGCGAGCACAGAGAGATTCAAGAAAAGATCTTTGATTACTTTCGATCTCATCCAGAGCTCCAGACTCCGATCGAGATATCGACGGCGGAGCATCGAGAGCTCTGCATGCGGCAGCTATCAGGCCTTTTCGGTACGTGGTTGACGATCCTTCGCTGTATTTTGCGATCGTTGAGGCTGCTGGTGGGATTGATATCTCGTTGGGAATCAAGATGGGGGTTCAGTACAGGTGAGAGGATCTAATCTGGTTCTTTTTGGTTGATGGATTGTTGTCAAAATTTGATCTTGATCGGATGTGAAGTTTGCGGGGTTTTGGATCAAAATCTGAGTTTATGCTTAAAATTGATAGGATCATGAGTTTTTAACCCCTGTTAAAACGGAAGGAGGATTGGCACTTAAAGGAGCTCCCTATAATTTTGGAAAATGAATAATTTAGCTGTTTTTTTTGGACTTCTAAACAAAAAATTATTTTAGAACTAAATTGAGCTGTTGAAGTTAGCTGAATAGTGACTGGAGTTGAGGAATTGGTAGTAACTTGAACATGGACAATAAATCCACTGTTAGTGTTAGATTTTTATGTTCATTCATCCAATAGCCACCTAGGTATTTCAATGTCGTCGCTTAGATTTGTTTTGATTTTTCCGTCATCTACAATGAAGATAATAACTATTAATTTCTTGAACTTTTAATTTCTTGTGGTATGAGTTAAATTGGAAATGTTGGGCTAGTTTTAGCCAGTAATAGACCTTCTTTTTTTTTTAATGTTGATTACTCCTTGTATGTTTGATCTATAAAGTGGGATCTAATTATAGAGATGATTTTAAACTTCACCAGCACTCAAGCATAGCATGTGATTTCGCTTGCTGATACTTGTAACTTTCAGAATACCTTTTTCAGTTATTTGTATGGTTTTAGTGGCCTACTTTATGTAATGTCCCCTGTTTGCCTATTATTTCAGAGCTATAATCAAATAAATTAATATATTGTTAGGCATGTGTGATTAATAGTGCATTAAATTAGATTCTAGGTGAGTAGGAATTATACATCATATTTCCATAAGTAACTAGAGAAATGATCTCTCTGACCACTGTTGCGCTGTCTCCACAATTAATATGACGGATTTTGTCAATAACTAGTTTACCCAAAAGCCGTAGTTGTTAGCCTGTTAGGTTGTAGACTAACAATGTATATGAAGATAACATTAACTCTTAATATGCACCCTCCTATGGGATTTTATGGGCCTCATGAAATGGCCTTTTCGTGGGATTTTGTGGCCCACAGGGTTGACATAAGCGGGATAATAAATTTACTTTAAATTCGTTAATGATGAGTTTTAAACACAGGAACTCTTGAAACCTGGTGTGTGTTAGTGGAGTAACGATGTGTATTAATTCTTATATGCTACTCGAAATTTGATTTCGCTGGTGTATAATGGAAAAAGGAAAAAAAACATGTATTTTTGCTGAAATGTGTACTGCAACCATACCTTTTGTTTTTTTGCCATCATTTACTCTTCACTTTGTTGATGAGTAGCTATTTTGTATGCCACCATTTTCATATGGTTATGTTTCTGTATGGTTATATAGGCAGTTATGAAGATTTGGGGGTATATAGGCAATTATGAAGATTTTTTTTTTTTTTTTTTTTTGGGGGGGGGGGGGGTTTGGTATATGGTTATGTTTTGGGTCTGCTTAAAATGTACCCTCTGCTTTATGCGTACTGCAACTTATAGAAAACAGAAAACAACCAATTTTATTCCTTGATTGGGAACAGGTTACTTTGTTAATAACTGAAAAGGGACATACACGTCACTCCTCAACAACAAAGAAATTACATAATAATCTCATGAGTGTAATCTTTGATGCTCACAAACATTCTGAATCCAACATCCTCTACTTCTTTCCTGCTTAAGGTGATTTGTTGGATTATTCATTTTATTTATGCTTCCACATCCTTCCTAATATGGGTTTTGATGGATTGTTCACTTAAAGGCATTGGAGAAACATAACCGTATTAGTTTTTTCTAATTAACTATATTATATTTTAATTCATGTAAAAAATGAGCTTTTTTCTTCTCAATTTTCCAACTTTTGTGCAGTCTTTGGGGAGGTTCTGTATTAAACTTAGGCACAAAAAAGCACAAGGATAAGTACTTTGATGGGATCGATAACCTGGACTACCCTGGATGTTTTGCAATGACAGAACTCCATCATGGTAAAAAAACTAAATTCATATTACTTTTGTGATATTTATCATTAGAAGCTTCTAACAATCATAAGTATGATTAGGCTCCAATGTCCAAGGCCTCCAGACTACTGCCACATTTGACCCTGTAACTGACGAATTTATATTGGACACACCCCACGATGGGGCAATTAAATGGTGGATTGGCAATGCAGCGGTCCATGGAAAGTTTGCAACAGTCTTTGCCAGGTTAATCTTGCCCTTTCAAGGAAAAGGTGGAGAATCTGCTGACATGGGAGTTCATGCATTCATTGTCCCCATAAGAGACATGGAGACTCATCTGCCTCTTCCTGGTATTGAAATCCATGACTGTGGCCACAAAATAGGCCTCAATGGTGTTGACAATGGTGCACTTCGATTTAAATCTGTGAGAGTTCCTCGAGATAATCTCTTGAACCGGTTTGGGGATGTTGCTCGTGATGGAAAATATACCAGCAGTCTTCCAACCATCAACAAAAGATTTGCTGCTACCTTAGGGGAACTTGTTGGAGGGAGAGTTGGTCTGGCCTATTCCTCAGTAAGTGTTCTGAAGACTGCAACCACTATTGCAGTGAGATACTCTCTACTGCGCCAGCAGTTTGGTCCTCCTAAGAAACCCGAGGTCAGTATATTGGACTACCAATCTCAGCAGCACAAGTTGATGCCAATGCTAGCCTCAGCATATGGATTCCATTTTGCTACACGATATTTGGTGGATAAGTACTCTGAGATGAAGAAATCTCATGATGAGGAGGTCGTTGGTGATGTTCATGCTCTCTCTGCCGGCTTGAAGGCTTACATAACCTCATTTACAGCTAAGTCATTGAGTGTGTGCAGAGAAGCTTGTGGTGGCCATGGTTATGCTGCTGTAAACCGGTTTGGTATTCTGAGGAATGATCATGATATATTTCAAACATTTGAAGGAGACAACACTGTTCTTCTGCAACAGGTAAGGATGTGACATACTAGTATTAATAACGCAATAATCATAAATTCCAAGACTTGAACGAAGTAGCTTGGTTGCTAAATCCTCCTTTATTTTGTCAATTGACAATATCCAGTTTCATGCAAGTCTTTACCGTGATCTATATTCACCGCTTCAGATCATATTTCTTTCATCTACATGTTATTTTTGATTTCCCCTCATAATGGCTGGCTGTGCAATTTCTGCATCTTTCTGTTCTAATAATAGCATGTCAACTGTTAACTGAAGTCAAATCTTTTTTCCCCTCTCTTTTTGAAGGTTGCTGCTGACTTGTTGAAGCAATACACGGAAAAATTTCAAGGAGGGACTCTTAGTGTCACATGGAACTACTTGCGGGACTCTATGTCCTCATATTTGTCCCAACCAAACCCAGTAACTGCTCGTTGGGAAGGAGAAGACCATTTGAGGAATCCTAACTTCCAGCTGGATGCTTTTAGAGTAAGCTGCAATTGTCTATCGTGGTTTAGTTTAGCATGTTTTGCTATTCCCTTTAAAGTTTGAAGTTCTCACCATTTATTCTTTTCAAGATTCCCTTATCGTTGTATCTTCGGAAACTTATATTCCTTGTTGTGAACCTCCTTTTGAAATGAAACTAATTTTGCATACGTATGTAGTTACAATTGTACTAAAAAGTTCCCCATATGCTATCAAAAATGAAACTAGGGTGAATTGATAAAGAGAATAAAAAGTGTGTGATCAGTGAAAATAATCCCCTATCAACTATGGAGGTGGTTGGACACATGGTCAAATAAGATTTGATTTAAGACTCCTCTAGACATTTCCCCTTCCCTGTCAGATGGCTTGTTTATTAACCAATCCACCTGAATACATTGATGGAATTTCTAACAATTCCTTTGGGCCTTCAATTCAGTCTTATGAATGATACACTTGGTTGATCTTTTCCAAAGATGGGAAAAACTATCTTCCATGTTACAAGGAGAGAAGACTTACCTGCTGAATTAGTTTGTCTTGCTATCCTGCAAGCACTTACAAGCTGAAACGAGTCCGCCACTGAATATGAAAATACTATTAAGACATTATAGTACAAAACCAACAGACTCATTGACCTGTAGTTCGCCTTGTAAACATGGAAGTGATTATTTGAACTCAACGACATACAAGTTAAGGTGGAGCATTTGTGTTTGCTTGTGTACTAGGCATTGTGGAGGTTGAGACAGTGTGTTTATAATAGGAAACTAATAATAAGAATGGCATTGTGGAGGTTTAATAAAAACATTTGAAGGTATTCTGGTTAGGGAGCATTAAATGCATATAGAAGGTAATCTGCTTTGGGAGGATTAGCGAGCTTGGTTAGGAAGTAATAAGGTGTGAAATTGGTGAGAATAGTACCAACATCAACAAGGTTTTTGATTAACTCATGGTTAAATAATATATTTTTTAAAAAGATTATGTTAAGGATTTTTCCTTTTGGTCACCTCGGTGGACTTCCAGAGTTGGCCCTTAGCCAGATTCGTAGCTGCACAAATTCTAGGAAGGTTTATAGAAATGTCCGCCTGATTCTTGAATTTGAGCTTACAGGAAGGTCTATTGAACGTTTATAATTATTTCAGAATCTTGACCTAGATAGATTTTTATTGGTTTCAAGACAGCCAAATTCAGCTAGTTGTCACACTATACCTGACCTGACAGGGATATAAAGAGGTCCACCAGCATGGTTTTGGACTAGCTATGCTGAGCCTACCTTTTATTAGTATGTTGTTTTGGCTCGGAAGGATCTATTTATGGGCAAACAGAGCTATATATAAATAGTGTGCTTGGCTCAAATTTCTAAGCAGATCTTTATCTGTTCATGATGGTGCACAGATATGCACTAATAGGTTCCTAGAACTATAAGATTTAAGAAAACTAGGTTTTAACAGAAAAAGGCAAAGTCTTCATCATTTCTAATTATAATGTTGATATAATCAGTATCGTGCAAGTGAATTCTCCATATTGGCATTTTAGACGTATAACAAAGCCTTTGTTTTTACAGTACCGAACATCTCGATTGCTCCAAAGTGTTGCTGTACGTCTCCGCAAGCATACAAAGACACTTGGAGGATTCGGTGCTTGGAACAGATGTTTGAACCATTTGCTCACACTTGCAGAGTCACACATTGAGTCGGTTATTCTTGCCAAGTTCATTGATTCTGTCCAACGGTGAAGTCTTCAAATGTGGTCTTAGATCAGATTTTCATGTACTTCCTCAGGCTTAATTTCTTTTTTTGTCTTTTTTTGCAGCTGCCCTGATAGCAACACACGTGAGGTTCTGAAGCTGGTTTGCGATCTCTATGCCTTGGATCGGATCTGGAAGGACATCGGCACTTACCGCAATGTGGATTACGTAGCTCCTAACAAAGCTAAGGTAATTGCAATGACAGTTTCTTATTGGTTCAATGTTTCACATGTAGAAATTCCTTGCTTCCCATTTGGTTGTTGTGAGATCTTTAAAATTCTATTTTCCAAATAACTTCTGATTTCATGTTGGTTACATACTATGTAGCATGTGTACTTCTAACATGAATCTGTATCCATATCAGATGCTCCATACCCATGCCAGCGACCAATACTTCCTTAGACACTCTTTGGATATATGCATGCACTTATTAAGTATAGAGGGAAACTGGTATTATTTTTATTAAGATGAGGGTAATATATCCAAAGGTATGTGGTTTAGTTTCCCAGGTAATGCGGGACTAAAATAGCCTATACAATGAATATCATATGCCATATATTAGCACTTCCCCTCAATAGGGATATGGATGAACCGAAGACAATTTGCCAAGAAGAAACACATGTAGTTGTACTGTATGAACCTTGGCAAGAACATTTGCAATCTGAAGGTGGTGTGCACATTGGATAGAGAGATTGTGCCAGCAAGGAGATGATGTCGTGTCGGGGCAATCTATTGCAATCTGAAAAATGGTCGATTTTGCTAACTAAATTATTTTTAGGCTGGCTTTACTAATTAAATTTTAGAAGTGATCTGTTTCAAAATTTTCTCCTAATTTATACTATAAATTAACATATTCTAACGTGCACTGAATTATACAATACATGTTTTAGTTTAAAACACTCGTCATATAGTTTCTTGGACGTATATCCTACACATACACTTCTTGAAACTCATTGGACAAAGTTGTATTTATTTCAACTCGTACCCATTTCAGAATTATGATTTTAAAGGGTCTTAGATATTAGGTTAAAAAATAAGCGAATTTCTAATTTATAATTTACATAATAAAAGAACATGAAAGTGTTATATGGATTTTATCATTTTAATTTTCATAACATGTGAATGAAATATATTAACCTCATGTAAATTAATTGCAATGTTGTACAGACATACATAAATACATACATACATATATAGATTGTCATGTCCCACACCCATACTCGTGTCCGGGTAACTTAGTGTAGGGGATCTAATCGACTTTAGATTCCAAACAAAGACTTGAGCTTTTTAGAGTTTTACGGAATACCTTAACCTTATGGAGAACTAATCAAGAACAAACAACAATCACAAAAAACACAAGAAGATGTACTTGGTTCAGCAATTTGTCTACGTCTAGAGCAGGAGAGATTATACTTTATTTTAGAAGAAGTAGATATATAAATACTTTCCTCTCGTTATCACAACACAAGAATGGTTCATCTAGCTTCTTGTGGATCCTCACAAGAATAGTAACCTTCCTCTTGTAAGTTCTCATAAGAGTTATCTCCTATTCTTCTTCTTCTTCACCTTCTTGATCTTGCTGACATTGTCTTTGATCCTTTCCTTATGGCCTCCTTCCGTCACAGGCTCTCTCTCACACCCTAGGTTTGAGATAATACATTTTAAATAGAATGGGAGACTTGGTCCCCCAAAAAAAAAATCCAGATAGAAACCCGAATAAAATCCAATTTTCACAAAAGACACAGCCGGACTTTGTCGGGGTTGCGTGCGCCTACTATATGCGATCCTGATGCAGAAGATCAATTAATGGACGAGACGAGACGAGATCAAGTAATGGATGAGACAAAGGAACAGGCGGACGAGATGACATCAGTGGACGGGACGACATCAGCGAACGAGACGAGTTCTCAACTCGACGCAAGCCAGACGAGACGAGTAGACGACTCGAGGCGACAGGATGAGACGACATGTCCAGTCGACACGAAAGGCGGTACTAATCGACACTCTTCGTGTCGACTCGAATGAAACGAGACAACAAATCCAGTCGACACGAAAAGCGGTGCTAATCGACACGCCTCGTATCGACTCGAACAACAGATTATTAGGACATCAGATTTTTTGGTTATTTCCTTTTAAATTCAAACTTTCTTTTAGATTAGGGTTAGGATAGGCTTAGTTGGCTATATATATTAGTTCATTTTGTAAATCGAATAATTAACTTTTTTTTCAATTATTCAATCAATAGAATTTTTTCCCTTGTTTTCTTCCCTAAACTTGGGAAAATTTGGGCTTGTGGATTCAAACTTGTTATCTACCTGTTACTATCAGGGCTAGTCGGCATTGGAACGATATCTGATCGGCCTTCCCATTTCTACGTCTGCGTCAGGTCCACTCTAGACCGTGACCGCGTGCCGTGGGCGCACACAATCTGAGTGTTGGATCTCGATAGTGTGCGCCTACTGCACTCTATCGAGCCACTATGTTGAGCTGTTGCTGTCGCTTTCAAATGCGTGAAGGCCCCTCTCAATTTGGGCCATTTACAATAATGTCTACCTTAGCTCAAATTGTATCTATCTCCTGCTGTCAAGGCTCCACCTTATGCTGTGTACCGTCCTCAAAACCATGAGTGGCTAAATGTTTTCGTGACTCCATCTGATGTCATGTACCTTCCTCAAAACTCTGAGTTTCTGAGCATCTGTGATGATCTCCACCTAAAGCCGAGTGCATTCCTCAAATCTATGAGTACCTTCACAACCTGCGCTTGAAGTTGCATACTGTCGCAGTCTCCACCCGATACCGTGTGCCTTTATCAACTGAGTGAGTTCCTAAATTTCTTTTATAACTTTCGCCTAATGTCGTGTATTGTTTTGGTTTACACCGCATCTTGCTCATGAATGAGTACCTGAATGATCATTTCACGACACTCTGCACAATGCCGTATATTGGCCTCAATCATGATTAGTCATCACCTTCCGAGTACCTAAATGAATCTCAAAATCAACTCCTCGATCAGAAGAGCTTCACTTCAAATTTCCTGATTTTTTGACAATCAACTGGACTGTCTGATCTGAGATTTAAGAGATGAATAATTCTCAAATCACTTTCGCATGAGCCGAGTGCTGCAAAAAACTCATGTGTCCTATGTGAAACCCTCACGTTACTGCCTTCAGCACTTCACCATGCCATATGTTGCCAGTTCAGCGCCTTAACCATGCCGCTGTTCTTTCCACCCTTGAGCCGCCGGATTGCCTTACTTCTGGCATCTGTTGCTCCTGTGCACGTCTTGATCATCAGTGATTGTGACCTGCTAAATACTGTCTTCACCGTCTTCGGCTAAGCTTCTCTATCGCGGAATATACCTTACACTTCTTCTGCGAGCTGTTCAACCTTTTTGTTTTCCTGCGACGTCCGTCAACAATCAACCCGGCATTGTATGCTTGCGATAGATATGGAATCAGATCCATAGCTATTAAGCACCTACGCGGATTTTGTGCACCTCTGCCTCTGCTTGCCAACTGGTCCTCCGTCAAATCCACCGTCTTTCCACATATCCCTGCACGCTTTGACACTTTTTCCTGTGAGCACATTTTGTAAATCTCTGCTACAACGTTCACCTTATATGTCGCTTGCATCATTCACTACTTCCACTGGATCTCTTGATCACCTATGCAACGCCGAGAACCTTACAAATCCTGAACCTTATTTTCATTGTCTTCTTTGCCGTTGCTTGGAACCCTAATTTTCCCTCAAACAAACTTGGCCATGATTTCTCCACGAGAATCATGAATCTAAATAACAAGTAGCTCTGTTACATCTTTTAAGGGATCCCGTCAACTTTAGATCCCAAACAAAGACTAACTTTTTTGGATTTTGCGGAATACTTTAACCTTATGACGAAATAATCAAGAACAATCAATAATCATAGAGGACACAATAAGATTTATGTGGTTCGGCAATTTGCCTACGTCCATGGGAGAAGGGGAGAGTATACTTTATTTAAGAAGAAGTAGATACATAAACACTTTCCTCTCGTTATCACCTCATAAGAGCGTTTCATCCAGCTTCTTGTAAATCCTCAGAAGAACAATAACCTTCCTATTGTAAATTCTCACAAGAATAATTTTCTTCTTCTTTTTCTTCTTGTTCTTCTTGTTCTTCTTCTTCTTCATCTTCTTGATCTTGATGGCTTGGCCTTTGATCTTTTCCTTGTGGCCTTCTTTCCTCACAACTTCTCCCTCAAACCCTAGATCTGAGATAATTTCCCTTTAGGTAGGATAAAAGACTTGGGCCCTAAGAAACCGAAGAAATCCCCAAAGTAAAACCCAATTTGCACAAAAAATGTAGCTAGACTTCATCGTACCGTGTGCGCCTACTGCATGCAGTCCAGTCTCTGGATCATGACCACATGCGGTGGGCGCACTCAGACTGAGTGCTAGCTCTCGACAGTGTGCGCCTACTGTTCACTGTTGAGCCGCTGTGTTGTTATTTTTGTTGTGCTGCTGTCTGTTGCTTTCAAATGCAAGAAGGCCCTTCTCAATTTGGGCCATACAACACATAGGTTACGTACGAAAATTTACTTGGTGGCAAAACTGGAAATTGATTGGATAATTATAGTGTAACCTTTAATGTGGAAAGGATAATGGTAGGGCTCTTTAGAAGCTTCATGATTTACAAACTTAATTATGATGAACAAATTATACCTGAAAAATCTGAAACCACTTCCTTTGCCAGCAGAAAGCATAAGCTACAAGTCATCATCCAGTATTGGAAAATAAAAATAAAAATAAAATAAAATACCATTTTTCTTTGTACACCAGACAACTAGACTACCAATCGGAATTTCTAAAATCCTCAACTATATGAGTAAAACAGATCTCAAATATAGAAAAGGTTTTATAAGAAGCATACCTTTATTTTATTCATTTTGGGGGTTGAAAAAAGTGTACCGGTTCAGAAGTTCCCATATAGGTAGATCTCATCCTTTCGTTATTTGCTTTTCTCTTTATTATTATTTCTTTAAGTTCTTTCATGTCAATTGCAAATTAGTCTTTGTATCACTCTCCTATTTGTTGGGAAACCTACTAGTTACAGGAGACAGCTCCCAGGGAGAGCATGCTTCTCCATTTCCTACATCTAAAAATACCAAACTAAATCACGTTCAGTTTCTTACTAAATTTTTGTGCATTATTCAGGCAATCCACAAGCTGACTGATTACCTAAGTTTCCAAGTGAAGGGGATCGCAAGAGAACTAGTAGATGCATTTGATTTGCCAGATCATGTTACTCGTGCACCCATCGGAATGACATCAGAAGCTTATGCTCACTATACACAATATGTGGGATTCTAGTATGGAAAGAGTTGAATTCTCAAAGTTAAAAGGGCAATGATTTCTCCAATACTGACCAATACATAAAGAGTAAACTCAGCTGCGGCAGGAGGTCAATGCTGAAGGGTGCCTTGCTGTTGTGTTTTTATCCAAAAGCTTTGAAGAATTAACCTTTGCCGATTCTTGCTTAAAATCAGAGAAAAAAAGAGTCATAAGTTAGCCACACTTTATGCAAGTAATAAAAATCAGAGAAAAAAGAGTCATAAGTTAGCCACACTTTATGTGGTAATAAAGGCCATCCTGCGAGGAGAAAACTGTATAATGGTGATGAGTTTATATGTGGAACATACTCTTACGCAACAAGTCAATACGAATGAAAGTATGTCAATATACTGTGTATGTTGTGTGGGGAGACTTCCATGACAGCTTTTCCCCTTTATTACTTATTTTGTGCCACTAATATTCCTTCATCATTCTATTGTGATTATGTGAATATTAAGAATAAGGATCATTTGTATGAGGTGTTAACCAAAATTGGGAGGTATGGACGTGAGCTTGTACTCATTCATTCATATACATTCTTCTCACAGTGTCCAATTTAATGATTAAACGCATAATCGGCTTTACAGGAGCAAAGAGAGAACCAGCCTCAACTGAAAGCAAATCTCCATAAGAAGTAGGATTCTACATTTATCAAGCCACCATATTTATACAGATCTGCTACTAAGTCTATTTTCAGTCATATTTCCACAAAAATCCTTGAGTTACATCATAAGTTGGAAAACATATATCAGATGCAAACATAATCATCTAGAGTGAGGACATGACTTTCATGGAACCGCATTGCACAGCGATGAATGCGAAGCCAAGAAGTCTCATTTTCCTATAACATAGTACTCAGCGTGAGCAGCCTGATCACCTTCTTCGGCTCTTCAAAAGCTTTAGCTGATGCTTCCAAAAATTTGTGCCAATCCATTAAACAACGGTAAACACTTACTTCTCCTTGAGATGTGTAGCATTCAGACAACGATGGAATTGTGATGCAGTTGTGAATCCTAGAGTTGAGAGTCTTGATACGAAATTTATGCGCCTCGACCAATTCCTCAAACAATCCATCTAGATCTGGAAGTGAGAAATGGGCTTGATTGAGGAAATCATTGAGATTCTATCTTCGAGCTAGGGTTAAATTGCGGACAGACCGCTGCCCAATTGTGAGTTTACAGTTGATGGTCACGTAATGATGTTAGTCCTCATGTTCCTAATAGGCAATCAATTTCCACAACCAGTAAGTCCTCTGGAATTAAATCAAGCTGAAAGCAGGCTTCTTCCTTATCTCTTCTTCCTTCATCCAACTCCTCACTCTCCTCGCATCCTCCCACCTCCCTTTAAATGCATATATATTCGAAAGCAGCACATAATCCCCACAATGACCCGATTGCATCTTCTTTAACTTCTCCAATGCAACCTCAGCCAGTTCAACATCCAAATTTAACCTACAGGCACTAAGAAAACTTCTCCAAATGATAGGATTGGCATCCACCTCCATCGATGCGATCAACTCCAAGGCTTCCCCTAAGCGCCCCGCTCTACTATAAAGATCGATCATACATCCATAATGCTCCACTCTCGGTTTTATCCCATAGTCTCTCTTCATTGATTTGAAGTGGCCCAATCCTTCCTCTACTAACCCAACATGTCGACAAGCATTCAGCACACCAACAAAGGTGACCCCATCTGGCTTAAAACCATGCTTTTTCATCGAATCAAACAGTTTGAGTGCATCAACAGCATGCCCATGAGCTGCAAGTGCTCCAATCATCGAAGTCCATGCCATTGCATCCTTTTTCCTTATTTTATTAAATACTTCTCTTGATATCTCAATGCATCCACATTTTGAGTACATGTCGATCAAAGAAGTCCCTAAAATTGCATTGAAACATGGATATTTCTTGTCTATATATACATGAATCCTCTTCCCAATATTAAGTGCACCCAAATGTGCACATGCGCACAATGCGCTAACCAATGTTGGGGCATCAGGGCTCAGTCCCGATGCTTGCAAATCATCAAATATCTGAATCGCTTCGCAAAAATAGCCATTAGAGACGTAGCCAGCTATAAGAGCATTCCAAACACCAGTATCCCTCCTCCTCATCAAATCAAACACTTGCTTAGCCAAGTCCAAGCAACCACATTTTGCATACATATCCAACAGGGCAGTGCCTATATTAACCTCTCTTTCAAATTGCATCAGTCTTTTGCTTACAAACCCATGAATTTGCCTTCCCAATATAAAATTCTTCAGCCTAGCGCAACCCGAGAGCACGCTGATGACCGTAACATCAGTAGGCACAATTCCTATCTCCCACATTCGCCGAAACAACTCAAAAGCCTCATCTAAAAGACCATTCTGAACATACCCCGATATCATCGCATTCCACTTAATCACATCAAATGAAGGAATAGCACCAAAGAGCACGCGAGCCGAAGCTATGTCGCTGCACGAAGCGTAAGCATGCAATGCGGTGTTGACAACATGGGCACTCGATTGGTAGCCCATGACGATGGCGAGGGCATGAACGGCCCTGGCGCCACTACGAGAGTCAGAAAGAGCACAGGCCTTGAGTGCGAGGGTGAAGGACGAGGAGTTGGGTTTGGGGGAGTTTGGGTGGAGCATTTTGGCAAACAGGTGGAGGGCATTGAGAGGGGAACGAGAAAGAGAGAGGGCCCTGAGAAGGGCGTTGAAGGGGAAGCGGGAGTGGGATTGAGAGCGAGAGAGTATTTGGTGGGCATGAGAGAAGCAGAATGCGTTCGTTTGGATGAGTTGTGAAAGGAGGAAAGGGTGGGAGGAGAGGAGGCCTGAGGTTGTGAGGGAGGCTTGGATTTGTAAGAGCTTGGGGAGGGAAGTGGGGTGCCTGTCTATGAGGTGGAGGTAGGTTTTTGGGTCAATTGATGGCATCGGCTGATTTATCTGCGTATCTTGTTTATCTTCTGGCTAAGGTCATTATTTTTTGGGGGTAATTTGTACTGAGCAGTTGCATTGGACGTATGATGCCTTTTTAAGGTTACTCCTGCAAGTCAGGCTGTGTGTCAATAGTAATCATTGCATGCATTAAGTCCTTGTCACGAAATATAGTTGCATTGCATATCATGTTTTCAGATTCCTTATTTGCTATTCCTTTTTTCTTTGGGTCTGGGATTTTTAATTGTATGTCCGTTGTTTTCAGAATTTTTTCAACGTAGCCAAAGTTTCTTTTAATGGGTGTGAACGCCTCAAGGATCTTTCCTCCCAGGTTTTTGCTATAAAACTCCAATATATCTACATGTGGTGATTCTTATATCCTGGAACGTTGGTTTATGAATCCTCAATTTTAAGGTATAAGATGTTATAGCTACTTAGCAAACAAGGACTCAAATCAGCCTGTCCTACTTTTGTTAATTACTAGGCTTTATACATGTGCAATACACGTGATTAAATATTATGATTAAGTACTTTTGATTTATTTCTTTACTAAAATTTGATCCTCGGTTTTACTTTTATTGTTTTTGCTCACTTATATTTTTAAACTTTAGTATTGTGATTATTTATTTTATTTTAATGTTTGTTTGAATGGGCTACATCAAATTTAAAATTTTCATGTTAATAATTGAATTGATAAGAAATAAATGTAATCTATGTAGGGATTTTTAGATCTCACAAAAACCCAAAAAAGCCACCAAACGCAGCAAATAAAATCACATAAGATTTAAAATGGAGGGTGAGTTCACTACCACATAATTGATCTATTGCAGCAGTTAAGGTGTAATGGTTTTAACTGTTGCGTTAGATATCTATCGTAACGGTTTACAGTGCGTAATGCAACAATTTATAAAAAACGTTGCCATAGGTCTAATAATTATCCCTAGACCTAATAATTGTTCCTTCGGCTTTTGGAGCTTAAGTTTTTAAAGCCCACGACCCTAACCACTTAACGAAATATCTCCCTCTCAACTGTCAAAGACTTTTGGCCCTGACCGCTTAACGAAATCCATAAAATTTTCCGCTCCCAAAAATCGCCATGGCCAAAATTTTCCGCTCCCTAAAATCGCCGTGGCCAAGATCAACATATAATCATCGATCTCATCACTGAATCTCATCTCCCCTCTCTTCACATGGATTTCGATTTCGAAAACCCTAGAATTCTTCTTCGAGCCCATGAGCAAGGTCGATTTGATACAAGGGAAGCCCTAGCGATCCTCTCAACGTCGATCTTCATCCAATCTCAAGTAAGTTCGTGATTATTTAAGTATGTTTTTAGAAATTTCTGCGTGGATCATCTCAAGTAAGTTCGTGATTATTTAAGTATGTTTTTAGAAATTTCTGCGTGGATCGATTGATTTTCAGTAAAAAGTATGCTAGATTGCAGGGGCTTTTTTCACCAGTGATATCTGAATTTCTAGATTGGTTATAGTTTTTGATCTATTTCTCTAGAATTCCTGTATTATAAATTCAATTGATTTCAATTGTAGTCAAATTTGCTAATTTGCTTGGTGCTCGTTGGGTAAAAATAAGGGAAAATGCTGAAAATTTCGAATAAAGAAAAGAAATGCATTGAATCTAAAGCCTCCAAATCTCGAGAGAATAGGGTTTCAGGGACTTCCCCCTCTATTTTTCTTATTTTTTTCTATCTTTTCTTCCTAGTTGTTGCTCTGAAACAAAATAGAGTTTCAGGGACACATAGAAAATCATCTTGTTATGGTATCTAAGACTAACAGTAAAAACTCACTTTCTCTTCTATTTTACTTTCTTTTTTCTTCCTTTCTATCAAACCAAACAGAGCAACACACCTGGTGGCCAAGGTCTTTGTTCTCTCTTCCTTTTTAGGCAGATAGAGTATCTCTGCAGATAGATATTTAGAGTTACTAGATGCATGGTCCTGCATATTCTAATTCATGGTCATTAATTAAGAGCCTGTTGTGAAATTTTTATGCAAGGAAAGTCATGCTTTGTTTAAACTGCTCTTGTTGCTATAGAGACTTCTTGTTTTGGAGTTAAACAAAAAATAACTAGTGGATGCTGTGTTCTCTTTCTCTACTGTTCAGCATTTCAGCGAAAAATCCACATCTTAAGTATAGGATTATGTATGTATCGGTGCACTTACAATTGTATACATACAACTAGCTTTCTTTTTTTGTATACATACAACATGCAACCAGCATATTTTTTTGTAGAATTTACCATACGACTAACGAATCCTATCGTGTAAGTATTCAAACTTCGAGTTCGCTGAAAAAGGTAATGTAGTTGGAGTTCTCTTTCGGCCCCTTCCCTCCTCAACCCCCCTATATTCTTCTTTCAGACAAGAGGTAGGACATTGCGGTGTGATTTACAATATTCACTTGTCCTAATAGTCCTTGTCGAACTACACAAATTTTACTGCTCAACAATAAAATTTGGTGATCCTAATGAATTGGATTGGAAGGTCAAGAGGTGAAGTTGTGATCACCAAATTCTGCCTCTCTACCCATCTACTAGTCATGATGATGTCTTTCTATGTTAGGGACGCCGCTCTTAACATTTGGTAAACCGCAAGGAATGTTTGGATATATTCCCAATATCAACATTTTCCTCTTAATCCATAGGACGATCGCGGTAATGGAGTTTCTTTTTTCTTCTATTGCTAAATATGCAAATTGACACAAGTTAACTGCTCAGATTTCTAAATTTCCATGTTCATCACTTATCCTAACAATACTTTACCTATTTATTAAAGTTAACTGCTCAGATTTCTAAATTTCCATGTTCATCACTTATCCTAACAATACTTTACCTATTTATTAACATTCAGATTGCAATTGAGGAGAAGGAATCCATACTGGGAAGCATACCAGAAGATTTTAAGGAAAGGGGTTCACTGTTGTATACTACTCTAATAGATGGGAAGGTACGTACACCTTTTTAAAACAAGATTTTCAATTGATTACATTTTTAGCCTGCTATTTCAAAACCTAATTAGTGCTGAAGTCCAATGACATTCATAGTTTCATGTTACTCAGATCATTGGATGTCTATAGAGCAATGCTTGAAATGCTACGTATTCGCAAACAGACAATAAACCAAACATGTGATTTCAATTTTAATTCAACCTAAATGAAAATGGTTAGATGATTTACTCATTAGCTAATTGCTTGAGGTGTAAGTTAACACATGTGGTTTAAACTCAAGGTTTAATAACTAGTTTTAGTTTTGGACCTCAACTAAATAGCCGGTGTCCACAGTTTCCGTCCTTCTCCGTTGTTTTTGTTTCTATTTCTGCTCCTGTTTTGATTCCAGTGGGGGTATTTGTGTTGAAGCTTAAATGACTTGCATCAAACAAGGAGAGAAAGGAGAGCTCAGAGCTATTTTGGGGTATTTGTGTTGAAGCTTAAATGACTTGCATCAAACAAGGAGAGAAAGGAGAGCTCAGAGCTATTTTGATTGATCTTACATTGCTGAAGATAGACTTGCATCAAACAAGGAGAGAAAGGAGAGCTCAGAGCTATTTTGATTGATCTTACATTGCTGAAGATAAAGTTTGTTATGTTACCCATTCTGCTTAGACGTGGCATGACATTTCAGATAGAAAAGAAAAACTATGCGGGGGACACTTTTGTGAAAACAATATGGGATCGCCCCATTTTGCATAAATTTCTGCTAACTCTATTTCATGCCAAAGCCTAAAGCTAGTAGCTTATACATCCAAAGAAATTATTCATGAGAATATAATATCTTAAACATGATGCTAAGTAATATATATCTTAAACTATGCGGGGGACACTTTTTTTAGGGGATCTCAATTTAGATGTTGTACTTAAAGTTTTGTGTTCAATGATTAGATGTTGTTGATTGCTAGGAAGTAAATGTTTTGTGTTCAAGGTTTGGCTTATTGACTAATACAAACTCATGTAGAATCAGAGGGACCTGGTGCATCTCCTCTTTGATGAATTTTTGCATTCAACACTGAGTTTACAAGTTCTCCCTCTCCAACATCACAGCTTAATACAGGTTCAATATGTTCACACAGAGTGCTAGCATCTGACCATGAACTTCTGAAAATGCAAGTTAACCAGACTGACCTACAAACACAAAGGCACCATATTTAAATACAACATCAAGTGAATCTGCAGCATATTAAGTACAACATCAGGTGAATCTATCATGCCATGATTTTAGCCTTAAGGTCCAGCTGATGCCTTAATTTGGTAGAACAAAGCAAGTTACCAGTTAAGCTTAATCAATATGTTATACACTATATTTTACATATGAATTAATGAGGAATATAGGTAGAATCAACACAACATAAACTGAGGAAAATGTTGTATAAAATTGTAGACAGATAGGTCTAGAATTGAATGACATTATCACACCCAAAGGTTCTACAATCAACAGTAGATCAAACAAATGTGGATTTGATCTGTAAATAAAGATTGCAGACCGTGATTCTTAATAAATCTTAACAGAGGAAAATGATCCACTAGAAAGAGGACAGTTAGCATTGTGAGCACGTGATGAGTGGGTGGGGGCCACTTACGAAAAGTGAGGTGTTCTCGAAACACCTGCAGACCCACGTTCTCGCGTTCGTGGCCACGAATTCATTTGTGGTGGCAAGCGGGTAAAAGGCAGGCCCACCCAATTGAACATACATATAAGTACCTAGTTTTCTCCCAGGGCAGAGCGCGAGCAAGGACGTGTGCAGGAGGCTGTGATTTTTATTTTTCGGCTGAGCAAAAGAAGGGCAGCGGCTGAAAGGTTAAAGCGGCTGATTTGATTTAATTGCGGCTACAGTGTTTGGCTGGGGATTCTTTTCGTCAGAGGAGAAAAAAAGCGGCTGATTTGATTTAATTGCGGCTACAGTGTTTGGCTGGGGATTCTTTTCGTCAGAGGAGAAAAATACCAGATCAAATTGTGGTTTTGCTGCAGATTGTTTTCTTTTGTAGAGAGATATTGTAAGAGGGATCTGAGAGTTTGTGAGAGGGTTTTATTTGTGAGATTGTAAACCCCAATTGTATCTCTCCCTCTAATAGTAGATCTCCCCCTCCTTGCCCTGTGGACGTAGGCTATTTGCCGAACCACGTAAAAGTTGTGTTCTTGCCATGATTTGTAATAGCTTGTAGGATCCCTCGACAGGTCAGTCCTAGAACTGATGAGAGGAAGAGCCGATATCTCACTTGGTTGAGATATCCGCTTCAGATTCTTGTTTCCTTGGTGAGACGGGAATTCTTATCGATCTAATCTCTCTTGTTGTGCTGTCGAAGTGCTGCCGAAATTTCCGCTGCTCACAACAAGTGGTATCAGAGCTCCGGGTTGGATTTAGGGCTAGTTCGAAGGATTCACTGAAGGATTCTTATTTGAAGAATTAGATCGATAACATGGGAGAAACAAGCACATCGGGATCGTCTCTTTCGAAGGCGATACAGAGTCTGAGCATCAATAATATAAAAATTGATGTTCCGAAGTTCGACGGCAAGATCAATTTCGGTTTGTGGAGGTGTCAGGTGATGGACGCCTTGGATGCACAAAATTTGGAGGAGACTCTTGAGTTACAAGAGAAACCCGCTGATATGGAGGACAATGTTTGGAAGAAAATGAATAGTAGGGCTTGTGGAGTAATTCGGTCATGCTTGACGCCGGATCTTAATTATGACGTAATGAACGAGACGTCGGCGAAGAGAATGTGGGAAACACTCAATGAGAAGTATCTGACGAAGAGCATTGAGAATCGGCTTCACTTGAAAAAGAGGTTTTACCAATTCAAGATGAAGAGGGGAGTTTCCATTCGGGAGCATGTTAACAACTTCACGAAGCTAATTTCAGATATGGCCAATGTAGATATCATGGTTGAGGATGAAGACAAGGCGATGCTACTATTGTGTTCGTTGCCGGAGGATGATTTTGGAACGTTTGTTCTCACTATGATAAAAGGAAGAACTACGGTTAGCTACAAAGAGGTGACCTCAGCTTTGGTGAATTATAAGTTGAGGAAGAGTGATGGCGAACCCTCCGAGAAGGCATCAGGAGATGTATTAGCAGTTCGAGGCCGTGGTCCAAACCGTCGTCCAGGTGATCGCTCAAGATCGAAGTCAAGAGGTGGCCATAGAAATATTTGTAGGAATCAATGTCGCTTTTGCAAAGAAGAAGGACATTGGAAGAACGACTGCCCAAAGTTGAAAGATAAAGCCGGGAAGAATAAAGGGAAAGCTGTACAAGCTTCGGAAGTGAATGTTGTCAAGGCTAGTGACGACAACTCAGATACAGATTCTTCAGGCTATTCGTGCTCTGCACTACCGTCAGTTTGTTACGCTGACTCTACGGAGTGGATGATGGATTCTGGTGCTACATACCATATTTGCCCTAGGAGGGATTGGTTCTCCAGCTTTGAGGAGTTGGAAAGAGGGGATGTCGTGCTCATGGGTAATGATCACGTATGCCCTATTGGTGGTATTGGTACAGTACGAATCCGGATGTGTGACGGGGTGACTCGGGAGCTGAAAGAAGTGAGATTCGTTCCTCAGTTGACGAAGAATATCATTTCGCTTGGAACTTTGGAGGCAGCTAGCTATAAGGTGATCTTGGAGAATGCTACTCTGAAGGTCACAAAGGGGTCTATGGTGGTGATGCGAGGTATCAGGGAAAACAACCTTTACTACTTGAAGGGCAAGACAGTAACAGGGGGTCTGGCAGCTTCGATTACCACAGAGGAAGATACTACCAGCTTATGGCACATGAGATTGGGACACACTGGTGATAAGTCCCTGCAGGTATTGGCGAAGCAGGGGCTATTGAAGGGTGCAAAGACCTGCAAGATGGAGCTGTGTGAACATTGCATACTTGGGAAGAAGACAAAAGTAAAATTCGACACCGCTATTCACAATACCCAAGGTATATTAGACTACATTCACACAGATGTTTGAGGCCCTTCCAAGCACACATCACTTGGTGGGGCCAACTATTTTATCACTTTCATTGATGACTATTCCAGAAGGAATTGGGTATACCCGATGAAGCATAAACATTAGGTCCTGGATATTTTTGTGGAGTGGAAAAAGAAAGTGGAGCTGCAGACAGGTAGAAAGGTGAAGACTCTACGTTCAGATAACGGTGGAGAGTATAAGAGTGATCCATTTCTGCAGTTTTGTCGGGATCACGGTATTAGGCGACACTTCACAGTACGTGAGACACCGCAACAGAACGGGGTGGCTGAGAGATTGAACCGTACCTTGCTGGAGAAGGTGCGATGTATGATGACGCAGAGTGGATTGTCAAGATCCTTTTGGGCCGAAGCGTTGGTTTATGCGAGCCATCTCGTGAATAGGTTGTCGTGCACTGCGATACAGGGGAAGACTCCGTTGGAGCGTTGGTCTGGTTCAGTAGCTAGTGACTATGAGTCGCTTCGGATATTTGGGTGTCCAGCTTATTACCATGTCAGTGATGGTAAATTGAATCCGAGGGCGAGGAAAGCAGTCTTTGTGGGATTTAAAGATGGAGTTAAAAGCTTCAAGTTATGGGATCCACAAGACAAGAAGATAGTTATTAGCAGGGATGTCACATTTGACGAGGTGTACATGATGAAGCCTCAAGTTTCTCAGCAGGTGGAGGAAGACCAGACAGTTAGGATATCGTAGCAGGTGGAGGATGATGTGACTCCACCCACTCCAGATAATATTGTATCCATTGAGGCTCCTACAGAGGTAACACTGGAAGGAGATGAGATGACAACCGGGCATTTAGAGGATACAGTGGATGTTAAGACTCAGGAACAGGATCATGTTCAGGAGTCCATTGCAGCTAATAGACCAAGAAGAAACATTCGTCGGCCAGCTAGATATGACGATGTCATGGTTGCATATGCTTTATCAGCAGAAGTCGTTGATGATTTGGTTCCTTCTACATTCAAGGAAGCAGAGTCAAGCTCTGATTCGAATAGGTGGAGGGAAGCTATTGATGAAGAGATGCGGTCTCTTCATAAGAACGATACTTGGGAACTTGCAAAGCTACCGAAAGGTAAGAAGGCTATTGGATGCAAGTGGGTGTATGCAAAGAAAGAGGGATCTTCTATTGGGGAAATTAGATTCAAAGCCAGATTGGTTGCCAAGGGATATGCACAGCTAGAGGGCATTGATTACAACGAGGTATTTTCACCTGTTGTGAAGCATTCGTCGATTCGTATTTTATTGGCATTGGTGGCACAGCTGGATTTGGATTTGGTCCAGATGGATGTGAAAACAGCCTTTCTACATGGAGATTTAGAAGAGGAGATCTACATGACACAACCTATGGGGTTCAAAGCTGCAGGAAAGGAAGAATTGGTATGCAAGCTGAAGAAGTCTCTTTACCGATTGAAGCAATCGCCGCGACAATGGTACAAGAGATTCGACGGCTTTATGATTGGCCGAGGGTACACAAGAAGCCCATATGACCCGTGTGTTTACATGCACAAGCTACAGAATGGTGAGTATATCTATTTGCTGTTATATGTTGACGATATGCTCATAGCTTCCAGGAATACTTCAGCTATTAGAAAGTTAAAAAAAGAGCTGTTATCCGAATTTGAGATGAAGGATCTTGGAGAAGCAAAGAAGATATTGGGTATGGAGATCGAGAGAGACAGGGTGAAGGGGAAGTTGAAGTTGACACAGAAGAGTTACTTGCAGAAGATGCTGAAGAAATTCAGTTATGATGGCAATGCCAAAGCGGTGAGTACTCCATTAGCTCCCCACTTTAAGCTATCAGCTAAGATGTCACCTGTTTCAGTTGAGGACCGTGAATACATGTCCAAAGTTCCATATGCCAATGCTGTGGGTAGCTTGATGTATGCGATGGTGTGTACAAGGCCAGATTTGTCACAGGCCGTGAGCATGGTATCCAGATACATGCACGACCCCGGGAAGGGTCATTGGGAGGCCGTGAAGTGGATTCTACGGTATATCAAAGGTACCGTGGATGTTGGTTTGGTATTTCAGAAGAATGAGAAGACAAGGCAGGATTGTATTGGTTACGTGGATTCTGATTATACGGGGGATCTGGACAAGCGCCAGTCTACTAGCGGATATGTGTTTACACTAGCAGGAGCACCGGTATGTTGGAGATGCACACTTCAGTCTACAGTGGCTCTCTCCACTACGGAGGCAGAGTATATGGCGTTGACTGAAGCGGTAAAGGAGGCTTTGTGGTTACAGGGATTATTGGAGAACTTGGGGATTGCACAGGAGACCCTTCGGGTATATTGTGATAGCATGTCAGCTATCTATTTGGAGAAGAACCAGGTTTATCATGCACGCACGAAGCATATCGATGTCAGATTCCATTTTGTTCGTGACGTTTTGGAAACTCTCTCGTCCGATATCGGAATGAGATGATTCAAGATGCGTTAGAAATCTGACGAAGAGACATACAAATTTCAATAGATGAGCCACTCATGGTGTGGTCATACAATGGCCGAGCCACTCATTGTGTGGGCGAGACACAACTCCTGGCTGAGGCCTTTCGAGGCCATTGGATGAACTACGTGAGGCTTGATTCCTTGGGCAAGAGGATACGTAGGCAGTTTTTATGATGCAGCCGGTTTGGATTAGTTGATTTTGATGGGGTGAGATCGTTTTGGTGAGTAGATACCGACGTTTGGGTGAGTGTTCGCACTCTCGTTTGGGTCTCGACTTGTTGAGGATTGAGAAGCAGCAAGTGAGACATTTGGTTTGGTTGGTGTCGGCTCAGTTTTGGAAGAAACTTCACCGAGGTGGAGAATTGTGAGCACGTGATGAGTGGGTGGGGGCCACTTACGAAAAGTGAGGTGTTCTCGAAACACCTGCAGACCCACGTTCTCGCGTTCGTGGCCACGAATTCATTTGTGGTGGCAAGCGGGTAAAAGGCAGGCCCACCCAATTGAACATACATATAAGTACCTAGTTTTCTCCTAGGGCAGAGCGCGAGCAAGGACGTGTGCAGGAGGCTGTGATTTTTATTTTTCGGCTGAGCAAAAGAAGGGCAGCGGCTGAAAGGTTGAAGCGGCTGATTTGATTTAATTGCGGCTACAGTGTTTGGCTGGGGATTCTTTTCGTCAGAGGAGAAAAAAAGCGGCTGATTTGATTTAATTGCGGCTACAGTGTTTGGCTGGGGATTCTTTTCGTCAGAGGAGAAAAATACCAGATCAAATTGTGGTTTTGCTGCAGATTGTTTTCTTTTGTAGAGAGATATTGTAAGAGGGATCTGAGAGTTTGTGAGAGGGTTTTATTTGTGAGATTGTAAACCCCAATTGTATCTCTCCCTCTAATAGTAGATCTCCCCCTTCTTGCCCCGTGGACGTAGGCTATTTGCCGAACCACGTAAAAGTTGTGTTCTTGCCGTGATTTGTAATAGCTTGTAGGATCCCTCGACAGGTCAGTCCTAGAACTGATGAGAGGAAGAGCCGATATCTCACTTGGTTGAGATATCCGCTTCAGATTCTTGTTTCCTTGGTGAGACGGGAATTCTTATCGATCTAATCTCTCTTGTTGTGCTGCCGAAGTGCTGCCGAAATTTCCGCTGCTCACAACAAGCATAACATTTTACCTCCCAAATCAAAGTTGATGATTTGGATTATCAAACATGAGCATGTTTTCAATCCACTTCCAGATATTAAAAATGAGCGTGTTTGCAATCCACTTCCAGATATGATAATATTATATATTAAAGAGAGATTTTCTTCACACATATCAAATGAGCAAAAGGTTCATACTGAATGTTGCCATCCGACAGTATCTTTTGATAAATGACCTACAATTGTAAAGTCAGCATGTTATGTACTAGGATTATCACTTCTCCTCCCTGCCCCCATTATGTTTGCTCTGAGTAAAAACAATTAAAGAAGTAAGTGTTTGCAATCGATTGTATAAATAAGGCGAATGGAAGGAGTATAATACAAATACAATGTTCTATCTTACTAAATATCTGAATGCTATTACAATTACTTTGCTTCCAAATTTGCTTCCAAAGGGCATTAAACATAAATTAATAATGAGACAATAAATTTATAAACCCATGAAACCCTTATGATTCGCATTATTCCAGCATGATTTACCCTATTATCTGCTGCACTAAGCACATGAAACCACCAAATGTTCAAAAGGTTCATGTTGTACACATGATTTTCTTTGCTCACTTTTTTTTTTGTTGGTTGGTTTTTGAAACTTGTTAAGAAAATATTCGATCATATAGAAATTAACACTTACATTTATGCTAGGCTGTGACAAGAACATAATATCTGTGTAGAGATTAAAAGAGGCTCTGACAAGTATAATAATGTGCATACAATAATCTCACTTGTGTAAGGCCTCAATGATTCTTGGTCTTATTATTTTTTTCAATTACATGACCCTGAAACTAAAAAGAGAAGAAATAATATAAATTTTTAAATTCCCAAACTAATTGTTTAACTTCACTTTCACACATTATGCATTTTCCGTAACCTTCCCAAATAGGCAGATAAAAAAATATTTTTAAAAAAAATTGTCAAGTTGATTAGTATTGTGAAATACATGTTCAGCAAAAAAAGAATTAGAAATTGTCAAGTGATTATCACTTCTCCTACTTGGATTAGGTAACTTTGTATCAGGGAAAGTGTCAGCTGTCAATTTTTGAAATTGATCCAAATTATTTCGAACCAGTTCAATGCAAAAAGATTGTGGTATTTTAAAATTCATCCACAGGTGAACTTGTTAGTAATTTATTCATCCAGTGAGGATTCCTTTATGTTAAGCTATTTATTTTGAATAATTGCAATGTCTTTTTCGCCCCAATTTTATTATCATCATTGCAAAAATTATGCTGATTCTTAGAAATTTACACATGTACAGAAATGACGAAAGCCAAGATTGAGATTGATACCGACAGGTTCCTAGTGAGTATTTGACATTGAAGCACAAGTTTTTCGAAACAAATAGAGAATATAAAGTCTTTGACCGAGAAGTTTCATGTTTTGTAATCAAATGTTGATGTTGTTTGAATGTTAGTTCTGTACGATATTTTCTGAGTTGAAATGTTGGTAGTGTGGATTTAATACTTTGTAGTTTTTGTACTATACTGATGAATTTTGGCACTTATCATTATGGTTGATTATGCTCAACATTTTTAATTTGATATTGTGTATTAAAATTTAACTTGGCCATGTTCTTAGAAAGATTGTCCAGGTAATTGAATACTATATGATTGTGACGTAGAGAACCAAGAACAGCTCAATCGGAGCTGTTGCAATAGCTCAATCAAAAACTGTTGGACCCTAGAGGGGGGTGATTAGGGTCAAGAGGCTATAATTATGCAATAAAATTAAGACAAGAAAACAACAGTATTCTAATGCAATCAAAATAGAGGAGATAGGGTTAGGAATCGTTATCCTGTGACGCGCGATATGTTAATGAGGTTCGGTCCGCTGACCTACGTCCCCGCTCCCCACTCTCGAGGAGAAATCCACTACACAACCCGGTTTGGAAGCCGGAACTTCGTCTACACAGCGATCCCCACACGATCTCACACTACACAGTTGATCTCACTAGATCACACTCCCTCACAGTTGATCTACACAAGATCACACTCACTAGATAGTAGAAATGGTGTAAGACTCTCTCTTTACAACGTCCTTATGGCAAAGAGAAAGAACACACTGAAGCTGGGAAGTGAACACAAAAAACTCAGTGAAAACAGGTTTTGAAAATATAAGCTCTGAGAAAAACAACGTCACTGGTTTTTCTCTCTTTACAACGTCCTTATGGCAAAGAGAAAGAACACACTGAAGCTGGGAAGTGAACACAAAAAACTCAGTGAAAACAGGTTTTGAAAATATAAGCTCTGAGAAAAACAACGTCACTGGTTTTTGCAAAAGCTGGGACAGAGAGGAAGAAAAAGAGGTGAAGTTTAAATAGGAGAAAAACAGCTGTTTAAACCCATCCCTAAATCCCCCAAAATCTGGAACTAAAACGTGGTCGACCGACAGAAATTTCGGTCGACCGATGGAAATGTTCGGTCGACCGACGGAAAATTCGGTCAACCGCTAACCAGATCAGAAAAGAGAAAAACAAGCAGAGACTTGTCCGGTCGACCGGTGCGGTCAACTGAAGGAAGCTCTCGGTCGACCGCGGCGGTCGACCGACGAACTCTCTGCTGCCCAGAGAGGAATGAACATAAGTGCGGTCGATTTTGCAGATAGGTCCTCATACTTTTGAAAAATAGTATTTTGTGAAAAACGCTTAAAAACAAGTATGAAAACGTGTGTGTGTGATATCCCAATAGCTTCAAGTGAAGTCAATAACTCTTTGCCTATATTCTATTACTAGAGAGAAAAATAAAAGATAGCTAATATCCTCATATAGAATGCAATGCTTGAGTCTTGATATAGCTTGAATTTGATGAAGCTTCTATATGAATTTGTTGTTCTTGAAACAACGTTTGCTTCATCACTATGCCTCCTCCTCCTTTGGATATCATCGTTGTAGCGCATATTCCATCCAATCCTCCATTTGTGGCACTAATAAGCTTGATATATGAATTCACTACATTTGTACTTAATAAGCCATTAGTACCGATAATGGTGGTTGTAAAACATCATCAAAACATAAGGGCTAACAATCTCCCCCTTTTTGATGATGACAACCAACCATTATATAAGAGCAAAAATAAAATAGCTTATAGATAGGTGCTCCCCCTATCTATGAGCTCCCCCTAAATATATGCAACAAATGAGGAGATTTCTCTCCCCCTTTGTCACCATCAAAAATGGGGAAAGAAATGCAAAATACAAAATGCAACTAAACAAGCAAGCAATGTAGAACTTTCACATAGTGCATAAGCCCAAACCATTTCTTATGCGACAAAAATCATCCTCTCCAAGAGGCTTAGTAAATATATCCGCTAATTGAGATTTTGTGTCAACAAATACTAGGGATACATCTTGTCTCTCAACATGATCGCGTAAGAAATGATGGCGCACATTAATATGCTTGGTTCTAGAGTGCAAAACTGAATTTTTGGAAATATTTATAGCACTAGTGTTATCACAAAAAAATTTTATATTTTGAAAATTCAAATCATAGTCAACTAAGCTTTGTTTCATCCATAAAACTTGAGCACAACATAAGCCGGCGGCAATGTATTCCGCTTCCGTAGTGGACAATGCAACACAATTTTGTTTCTTGAGCCCAAGAAACAAGTGAATTTCCTAAGAATTGGCATGTTCCACTCGTACTCTTGCGATCTACCTTACATCCGGCAAAGTCGGCATCACAAAAACCATATAAATCAAAAGAGGTGCTTTTTGGATAAAATAAACCAAGGTTAAAAGTTCCGCAATTAAATGAGATGCTTTAGGAGATGCTTGAAAACGTGCACATGCACACACACTAAACATGATATCGGGTCTACTAGCGGTGAGATAAAGAAGACTACCTATCATACCTCGGTATAGTTTTTGGTCCACGTCTTCACCACTTTCATCCGCATCAAGCTTAACACTTGTACTCATGGGAGTAGGCGCATGCTTAGAGTTCTCCAAATTGAATTTCTTCACCAATTCCTTAGCATACTTGCTTTGAGAAATAAATATCCCATCCTTTGTTTGCTTAACTTGAAGCTCGAGAAAGAATGTAAGCTCTCTCATCATACTCATCTCAAAGTGGTCCTGCATAACCTTAGAAAATTTCTTGCACAAAGATTCATTAGTAGCACCGAAAATGATATCATCAACATATATTTGAACTAAAATGAAATCATTTTTTCTTTTTCTCACAAAAAGAGTGTTATCAATTGTTTCTTTTGAAAAACCATTTTCAACAAGAAAACTAGAGAGGCGAGCATACCAAGCTCTAGGAGCTTGTTTCAACCCATATAAAGCTTTTTGAACCCGGTAAACATGATTAGGAAAAACATGATCTATAAAACCGGGGGGTTGCTCAATATATACTTCCTCCTCTATAAAACCATTCAAGAAAGCACTTTTAACATCCATTTGAAATAATTTGAAATTTTTAAAGCTAGCAAATGCCAAAAACATCCTAATAGATTCCAACCTTGTAACCGGTGCAAAGGTTTCATCATAGTCTATGCTCTCCTCTTGATTGTATCCTTGGGCAACCAAACGAGCTTTATTTTTAGTAACAATACCATGTTCATCAAGTTTGTTTCTAAAAACCCATTTAGTACCAATAACACTAGCATTGTTAGGTCTAGGAACTAATTTCCAAATATCATTTCTTGTAAAATTGTTTAGTTCTTCATGCATAGCCAAAACCCAAAATTCATCATTTAAAGCATCATTAATCTTTTTAGGTTCTAGTTGAGATAAGAATGCAACATTACCACACTCACTCAAAGCTTTTGAGCAAGTAACAACTCCTTGTGAAGGGCTCCCAATGATTTGTTCCTTTGGATGGTTTGATGCGAATTTCCAAGCTTTAGGAAGTTCAACTTGTTCATGAGCATTGGAGCTATCCACATCCTTTTGAGCTTTTATAGAGGGAGTATCATTGATTTGTAAAAGGTCCAATCCTCCCTCAACATCATCATCATCATCTTCCTAGGTAAAACAACTTGAGAACCAACATTAGTCTCATCAAAAGTGACGTTTATAGATTCTTCAACAATGAGGCTTCATTTATTGAAGACCCTATAAGCCTTACTTCGAGGTGCATAACCTAAGAAAATACCAACATCAATTTTGGAATCAAATTTATCATGGTGATCTTTTGTATTTAAAATAAAACATTTGCAACCAAAGATACGAAAATAACCAATAAAAGAAGTTTTTCCATAAAAAAGTTCATAAGGAGTTTTCTTAAGCTTTGGCCTAATCAAAACACGATTTAAAACATGGCAAGCCGTATTGACGGCTTCGGCCTAAAAATATTTTGGCAAATCATATGAATTTAACATAGTGCGTGCCATCTCTTGTATGGTGCGATTTTTCCGTTCAACAACACCATTTTGTTGTGGTGTTCTAGGAGCGGAAAACATGTGAGTTATACCATGATGAGCACAAAAATCATAGAAAAATTCATTTTGAAATTCACCACCATGATCACTTCGTATTTTAACAACTTTCAAATCTTTTTCATTTTCAATTCTTTTGACATGATTAGCAAATTCTTCAAAACAATCATTTTTCTTTGTAAAAAATATTGTCCATGTAAAACGAGAAAAATCATCAATAATCACAAAAACATAGTGTTTCCCTCCAAGAGAGGTAACACGCATAGGACCAAACTAATCAAGATGAAGTAATTGCAAAGGTTTAGAAGTCGATACCTCATGGATGGATTTGAAGGAAGATTTTGTTTGTTTACCTTTGGCACAATCCTCACATATGGTATCTTTGATGAAGTGCAAGCTAGGTAACCCTTTAACAAGATTTCTCTTAGACAATTTTGATATTAGCTCCATATTTGCATGTCCAAGTCTCTTATGCCAAGTCCAAGGGTTTTCATCAATTGCCGCAAGGCACATCACATCTTGATTCACTAATTCATTCATCTCAAAAATATATATATTAAATTTTCGATTAGCAACAAAAACAATTTTTCCATTCATACTAATGATGCATTTATCCGGTTTAAAGGAAATATCAAAACCTTTATCACTCAATTGGCTAATGCTAAGAAGATTATGATTCAAACCATTTACCAAATAAACATCTTCTATAACGGGTGAGAGTTTCTTACCAATAGAACCAACACCAATGATTTTACCTTTCTCATCACCGTCGAAGGAGACATTACCTCCTTCAATTCTTGATAGAGTTGCAAATAACTCTTTGTTGCCCGTCATATGATGTGAGCAACCACTATCAAGGTACCACACTCCTTACGTTGTTGCCGTGATGTTCCCTACAAGAGAAGAAGATGAAGATGTAGTAACTTTTGGTACCCAAGTCTTGGGTCCTTGGTGGTTAGTAATCTTAGTACCTTTGGGTACCCATATCAATCCATAAAATTCAATGTTATCATTAATTCTACAATGAGTAGAAATATGACCATGTTTCATGCAATAAGTGCACACAAAATTTCTTTTGTATGTATGAGTGTGAGAACCATGAAACCTATTTCTACCATAGTAATGGTGATTAGCATAAGCATGAGTGGGTCTAATCCTACCAC